ACAGAAGAGCCTGGATGAGACGGATTGACTCAGTGACTGTGGTAATGGGAGTAGATGTGTCAGAGACAGTGAAACTGGCTCAGGATAGAGCAGGGTTCAGAGCTATTGTACAAAGGGTCACTATGAGTCGCAGGTGCATAGCAACAACACATATCATGAAGGTGATTATTTATCCATCTCTGCTGGAGCTAGTAGATTCAAACCACGTGCCTTTGGGATTGCAGTGAAGTTTCTTACCAGTAAGCCTCCAGAGCTCACTAGAAAGGAAAATTTGGCTCCATGGAGGCAAAGATGATGAAGCTTCTTAAGTCTGTCATTATTTTGACTATTCCTTGGAAATGGACATAAGCATGCTTGGAAAGGTAGAGGGTCAGAGAAGGAGAGGAAGACCTCAGTGAGACAGACGTGAGCAACAGGTTGAAGTTAGAGATGAAGAGGATAGGGCAGAGCTCAGGTCAGCTGCATACTCAACTCAACAGGACCTAAGAATCCTAGAATGAAGGAAGGGAGCTCTGGTGGCTTAGTGTAAAGAGTTGTGTTGCCAACCCAAAAACACTTGGTTCAGATTCACCAGCTACTTCAGGAGAGAAAGTTGGCCAATTTCCCATGCAGTTTACTGCCTCTGAAGACCTGCTGGAGTGTCAGCTATGAGTCAGTTCCAACCTGACAATATATAGCACACCTTAGACCAAGGGAACTGTGGTGGCCTAGTAGGTAATGAGTTGCACTGCCAACGGAAAGGCAGGCAGCTCGAATTCACCGGGTTCTCAGCAGGAGAAAGATGAGCACCCTCCTTCCATTTGGATTGCTGCTGTTGTTGTTGTGTACCTTTGAGTCAGAATTGACTTGTAGCAGGCCCTAGCTGAAAACCTAGTGTGTTCTCAGAGGCAGGTAATCTCACCGGGGGAGACTGCCCATCCTTCCTTCTCCCACAGAGTAACTGGTGTATTTGAATTGCCTACAGGATTGCAGTTCAGCTTTTGGTTTACAGCCTCTGAAAATCTGTTAGAGAGTCAGCTGTGAGTCAGTGCCAACTCAGTGTGCGTAACAACAACCCTAGACTGATCGGAACCTGAGTATGAACGAGATCCCCATTCAGGTTTGTGTGTACATTACAATGTGAGATGCTCTAGTGGTTGTGGCTGGTGATTCTTCAACGCAGTGCTGCATCAGACTCAAGGGAAGGTGTCCTGCTGCTGCTAGTCCTGGACTAAGGCAGGGCAGTCTGAAAACCACTGCTCTAGTGAGAGGAGAAGAAGGAGAAGAAGGGGGGGGGAGAGGAAAGAGGGATGGAGAGGGGGAAAGGGAGAAAAGAGACAGACTGTTACACAAAAAGTGAAGCCTTTCCTGCTGACTGAGTATGCTAGAGAACTCCTACACCTTACAGCCTAGCCCACGATGAGAACCTGGGAAAGCTAATACTCCTCAGGGATGGGGCCCTGGGCTCTTCCCTTGAGTTGTTTTAATGTTGTCTCCTGTTTAAACAGGGCTGTGGACAAGAGGTTCTAGGGCCTCTGTACCAAAGCCAGAGTCAACCAGCTCCATCCGGGAATGTGTTTTCCTGCCTTTAAAACTAACAGAGCCTGAGTTGCTATAACTGAGAGGATGGGGCAGGAGGAAGAGCCATGGTACCAGGAAGTTGCTAGCTGAGAATGGGCTGGGATGGGCTGGAGACACTCTCCTGCCCCTTAGTGGAGTGTTCATTGTAGACATCCTTCAAGTTGTTTTTTTGTAGTCCACCTTGTGACTGCTCAGAACTCTTAAGTGTTAATGCTGCAGTAATGGCTCAGCGTGCAGAACTCCCAAAGGGCCAAGGGCGGTATCTCAACTGCTAGCACACACTACAAACACTGTTGGATCGGAATGCCTTGATGGTACAAAGATGCATTCGACCCACAGAAAAGAAACCCAATGGGGGAAAAGAAACCCTATAAGGGGGGAACCTACTCTCAAACAACAACATGGCACAAAGGCCATTCTCAGGTATAGAGATGAGTTTTGACTGATATGAGGTTAGTCAGTTCTGCCTTGTTAGATGGGAGGAAGCAAGCTCTATGTCAAGATTACATGTAACCAGATTATAAATTTATGGCATGTACAACCGTAAATAGAAATAAGAACTGTCACTTCCTTGTGGAATGCTTATTCTGATGCCAGAGTCTGTGCCACAGACCAGTCTTAGCTATGAGATAAATATACCAGTATTTTCCGTCATTATTGTGTTGGGGAAGGATTCTGAATATCCCATGGACTGCCAGAGTAACAAGTCTGCCTTTGAGGAGACGCAACCAGGTGATCCTTAGAGGCAAGGATGGTGAAACTCTGTCTTGTCTCACATACTTTGGGCATGTTGTTCAGGAGTTCCTTAGAAGGAGACATCGTGGAGGGTAAGAGAAAGAGAGAAAGACGCCTCCCTCACAAAATAGATTGACGCAGTGACTGTAACAGTGGGGCTCACTCATGTCTGAGATCCTGAGGATGGTGCAAGATAGGACAAGGTTCAGATCTGCTATTCAGAGGGTCACCGTGAGTCGTATTGACTGGATGGTGCATAACAACAACAACATTATCTGCATTTTACAGATGTGGAAACTGAAAAAAAAAATTCATTACATATTTTGCCCAAGTTTACAAAGGCAATTGGGCGTTCAAATTTGGACTTGGCAACTAGAGACCACAGTGCTGGTTACAGGGCAGTAGTTTTAATTCAGACGTGCCAGAGTCCACGGCCATTGGGCACACAATCATGATATCTTGAAAAACAATTTTTTAAGGCACCTTTTGTATTTTGTTTTTTAGAGGTAGGGCAGGAGGCAAAAATCTTTACTAAGAACTCTATAAATCAAATGAGATCATAAGTCTGGTGAAGCCAGGCAGAGGTGCTGGCTCTGTGCCCACTCCCACAGTGCCCCTCCTCAGCCACGCCCGGCTCCCACGCTGCACTCACTCATACAAAGTGGTTCCACCCCTGTGGTCTTGGGCCTCCCAAGTCCCAAGTCCATTCTTTGCCTTGCACCTACTTATGGGTGGTTGAAAAGATCCTTCCCAGTTCAGTCATAGAAGACAAGAATAAACATGGAAGTGTTCTGGAGAAGACAGTTCCGAGGGTGCACAGTTTTCCAGTGATGGGCGAAATACTTCAAATATGATGAACTTTATCATTATTGTTGTTGTGTGTTGTCAAATTGGAAACACCTCAGAACTCACCCTCTTGCAGGTTTTTAGACACTATCAATTGCATGTACCATGGACTGCCAGGAAAACAAACAGATTCATCTTGGAGAGGATTAAACCAAGCTACTCCTTGGAGGCAAGGATTCTGGGGCTTCGTCTGACATACTTTGGACATGTTGCGATGAGGGACGGGTCCTTGGAGAGGGACATCATGCTTGGGAGGGTGGAGGGACAGTGCAGGAGGGGAAGACCCTCTAGGAGATGGATTGATACGGTGACTGGGGTAATCGGGATGGGTGTGTCAGAGGCAGTGCAGTTGGCGCAGGATAGAGCAGGGTTTAGGGCTGTTGTGCATAGGGTCGCTATGAGTCGAAAATGACTCGACGGCACATAACAACAACAACAACATTAGTTGCACAAGAGGAGACCGCCCATTTTCTCCCTCAGAGTAGCTGATGGATTCTAAGTGCTTGTCTTTGGATTTGCAGCCTAACTCCTTACCCATAGGTTGCCAGAAATCCCTATAAACTATACTTAGAGTTCCTAAAATGGCAATAAGTAGTTGAAGGAAACCAGGGATGAATATTTGAAATACTGTATTTAGTAATGCAAAATCCAGGAAGCAAGTTGAATCCTAACTCCTGTTGTCTATTGATATAAAAGTCTATCCCTGCTTGTAATTCTGTATAAGCACGATCATGCACTATGCATTAATGGATTAGCGTTAATATAGTTTAAAGCTTTATTGGATTAGGTACTCCGGGGTGAAGCAATCCCATATCACCTATGCTCTAGGGAACTCTTTGTCACTTGGGGCATACGCTGTTCTGTACCAAAACCACTTATGGCATGCTTACAAGGGGAGACCTTGGTTCCATCTGCTCATGGTCCAAAGCCATCACTTGCCAACTCTCCAAGGGCTCTGGCTGTGCTGAACCACCATACCTACCAGGTCCTCACGCTTAGTCCTGAGGAGATGGAGTTGCGGCCATACTCTTCTACCACCACCCCAGGCCCTCTGGAGTGGCAAGAACTCAAGAGGCCATGTCAGTCCCTTGTATGTGATCAGTTAAATCAGTGACTGACTGGCTTAACATCTTTTGGCAGGCATGAATTACTCTCTTTTTTGAGTGGTGCTCTGCACTCTTCTGGACACCACTGTTGAGCTCTCCTTGTCTGTCAAAGAACAGTCCTTGGCTGCTGTGTGGAAATTGTTGTTAGATGTTGTTGAGTGACTCAGGATAACCCTGTCAACAACCCTGCCCTATCCTGTGCCATCTTCCAATCTCTACACACTTGACCCATTGCTACAGTTGTTGTGTCAGTCCATCTCATTGAAGGTGTCTTTTGCTTATCCTCCACCTTTCCAAGTGTGTGTCAGGGTTATATCCATTTGATCTGGAGTGAAGCCTGAGAATTTGTACTGATGACAAGTTCACTATTGATACTGCTTGTCAAGAGAACACAATAAATCAATAAAATGAGGAAAACAACTTACAGAATTTCTTTTTTTTTTTTTTCTTAACTTACAGAATTTCTACTCACTGCGGATTTCAAATTCTAAAATCAACATTTTTAAATTAAAAAAATTTAAATAAGCATTTAAAACTTTACCAAGTCCTTGTGATTATTTGCATTTTTTAATACAAAAGCAACGTAACCTTTTCTGCCATTTACAAGTCACTGTTTCCATTTGTAACTCTTGTGTGTTCCCCACTTATGCCACTTTGAAGTTACCTGGTGTTTTAACTGTATCTTTAAAAGAATAGTCAGAGTTATATCTAATATTTTATTGTGCTTTTTTTTTTTCTTTTTCCTTTCTATAGTTCCATATGTGTTGAAGACTTGTGCAGAATTTATAGAGACACACGGCATTGTGGATGGAGTCTATAGGCTTTCTGGTGTGACGTCAAACATACAGCGGCTAAGGTAACAGACAGGATCACCTTGAAAAAAATATACCCATGATCCTTTAGCCCATGCCTCCATCCGTAGGTGTTGGAAGTATTAAAAGCCAGAAGACACTGAGGAAAGGGTGGCAGAGCAGAAAATCACATACTAATTTTTCTAATGCCTGACTGTTCGTAATCTAATCAGGAAATTCTCCAGTCTGATGTAATTCTTTCCAACAAAAGTTCCCTTAGAGCTTTTAATCTGCTTTTTGTCTTGCAGTAGATTTGTCCTTAGGTGAATTTGATCTAACTCAAATGATTTACATAACAAGTTAGGAAAATGTGCTTTCTTTATCAACCGCCTACCTACCCAAAAAGCTTGGTTATATCAGGTTCCCATTATGTCGTGTTCAGAACTGGGACAAGTCATGTGAATTTTTGGTTGAGTCATACTTAATAATTGATGTTTCATCTAATTGACACATCAGAAATGTGCAATATTATGCATATACTTAATTGAAGCTGATATTTTTTAAATTTGTAGGAAGATGAGCTAATTTTAAAACTCTAAATTTTTCCTAAACCCTCCCAAAGGCACATGGTTCAAATCTGCCAGTTGTTCCTCAGGAGAAGGGTGGACAGTCTCCTTCTGTGTGATTTACTGCCTCTCAAAACTTGCTGGAGGGTCAGCTATGAGTTGGTTCTGACTGGATGACACGCAACAACTGCTATGCATTGTTATCAAGTGAGAACTCATAGCTGCCCATCCACTAGATTTCAGAGGTTGTAAATCTTGCTGGTGGATTCTAACTGCATACCTTTGGATTAGCAGTGCAACTCCTTATCCACTAGGCCTCCAGAGCTCCTTATATATTGTTGTTGTTGTGTGCCATTAAGTCAGAACTGACCCATAACTAAACTTCCTGTGGATCTTCAGAGGCAGCAAACTGCATGAAAGGTGATTGCCCTTTTCCCATGGAGCAGCTGGTGGATTTGAACTAGGTGCCTTTGGGATTGCAGCGCAGCTTCTTGCCACTAGGCCACCAGAGTTTCCTCTGTATATAAAAACACTATATAAACACACACTGAAGAGCAAGAACAATATAGGGACAGCCGTATCTGACATTTTCCAACTTTACAAAGGGGAACTGTCCCCATCAACAGCATCAATAACACAAAACCAATTCTCATGAGATCAGACATGTTCCCCCATGCTTCCTTACCTCTTTCTATTCATCTCAACACCAATCTTACTGTTTTGCTGGGTCCATAACGCAATGGGATAGCTCACAGACTATACAGAACCGTATTGTTGTTGTTGTTGTTGTTAAGTGCCATCGAGTTGCAGGCAACTCGTTAAAAGGTTACAATCCAGATTAATTACAGAATACAGATAAGATAGCTCCTGAGATTTTGAAAGTGATGTATGATAGGGTATTATGGTTATCACAAGAATCCACAATTAAGGTTTCATAGTGGAATGTACTTGGGGCGGTGGAAGGGGTGTCGGGGGAAGGGGGGGATTGTGTACCAGGGAGAGAGTGTTTATTTCACTTTTCAAAGAGAGGAGTGAACTGGGGTGGGGGGGAGGGCTGGGCGGGGAGAGAAGTGCAGCAATGAATGGATGGAAATCCAAAATCTCTGTAAATGTTCATTAAACTTATTTCTAAAAATTAAAAAAAAAAAGGATAGCTCCCAGAATGTGCACACAAGTACCTCAGCCTCAAGCCCTGCTGCTTGAGACTAGTTCTTCCAAGTTCTCAGTCCTGACAATATTGGCTTCTAATCCCCAGTTGTCAAAAAATGTTCTCTGTCCTGCCAATATTTGCACTCCCCCTTTCAAGGACCTATTTCATGTCAGGTCTCCAGTTTGGCCATAGGCATTGCTGCTGGAAATATTGCTGGCATAGGTATAGCTAGAGCAAGAAGGGTATCCTACATTCTCTTCTTGTTCAATGGCACCAGGAGATCTCTTCCATCACTCTGGCTTGCTCTAATCAATGGCAAGACTAGTCAATCCCCCTGTAGACTGTTGAGAATTACCAATCCGCTTGTGGATAGGCTAACACACCCTATTCATATCTTCCCACCTATCTACATAGCAAAGTCGAACAATGGCTAGAAAGAAACGCACACATATATACACACAAAAAAATATTCTTTACACACACATTCACACTTATAATATTCTCTTTTGTTGTTGTTTGCCGTCATAGACTTTGATGACTGTGTCTTTAATCCACATGTGTGACATTTTCCACAGTTTCCACAGCAAATATGTTTTCATAATTTGGCATATATATATCATATCATATCATATCATATCAGTTAATATCATGTAAGGCTAGCTAGATTATGACTAATTTCTTTTTAGTTTAAGGGATATCTGAGCTATGACAAGGAAAAATTTTGTCTAAATGAATAAATGCTACACTGTTCTTGTTCTACTTCATTAATAACACAACCAACAATTAAAAAACAACATAATACTATGAATATATCAGGCCATGCATAATTCTCTTTTCAAAACCCTACTCAATTAGTTTCAGGAATTTACCATCCCTTTAGTAAAGAGGCAGAAACAGACAAGTAAAGATTGGGTAATGAACCATTTTGGAAATTCTGAACCTGTGAATCTCATTGATTTTGTTACAACTTGGCCGACCAAGGGAATACTCATCAGAATTCTAACTATTCTTTTGTATTAAAGCTCAAATATGACATTCTTTATACAGATCATTAACTTATAAATATCTTTTGGAGTCCATGAGTCATGCAAAAGGTTAACATGCTATTGCCAACTGAAGAGTGATAGTTCCAAGTCTAGCTAGAGGCATCTTAGGAGAAAGACTTATTGATCTAATTTTGAAAAAGCCACTAAAATTTCTGTGATGGCCAGTTCACATAGTGTTGCCATAAATCATAATCAACTCCGTGGCAACTGGTTAAGTATATATCATGTAAGGTGGTGTATTCTTGTAACCTTATGAGAAAATATTTTTCTAATTAGGTCACACTAGGTCTAGAATCTGATGATGTCCCCAGATATCCACTTTAGACTGTTTGTTATTGTTGGTATGTACTGTCAAGTCAACCATGACTCGTAGTGATCCTCTGAACAACAGATCTGAACCTCGTCCTATCCTGACCATCTTCACCATCTGACACATTTGAGCCCATTGTTAAAGTCACCATGTAAATCCATCTTATTAAGGGTTCTTTCTCTCTTACACTGACCTTTCCATCCACTATGTCCTTCTTCAAAGACTGTCCTCTCCTAACACCAGGCCCAAAGTATGTGAGATGAAAGTCAGGTGCTGATTGGAAGAGACTATCAATTATTCATGTGCAAGTTCAAACTAACACTGAAGAAAATTAAAACAAGTCTATAAGAACCAAAACATGGCCTTAAATCTATGCTACCTGAATATAGAACCATCTCAGGAATAAGTTTGAAGCACTGAACATTAATACAGATTGTTTAGGAAGATATTTACAGGCTTATCTACCAGAGACAGTCGGGTAGCCCCAAAGGTTCTTTCTATTCAATATTAAAGAGAAAGTTGATTTAAGTCACCAAACCTTAGGAATATGCAGAGATGAATGATAACAGCCTAACCCACCCTGATTGTTCTCTCTGCTCAGAAAGAAGTTCAATAAGAACAATATTTTGGAAAAACTAAAATCTCAGTATGTGTATTCAGCAGACGGTTCTCATATTTCCCCACTGTTCATGATGGGTAGACATCTCCAGACATATAATGTGGTAAAAAATTCATTTGTAAGTGAACATTCTGTCTTTCTAACCACCGCAGCATTTTCAGGGTGAGTCCAGACCTAAAGTTGATGCCTCTTAATAGCTTCCTTGGGCTTGGAGTAGAAGGTCATTCTGAATCAAGGTCAACATATAGTCAGATCAGCAGTTTGGGGTCTTTTTACCCCTAAGCCAACAAGCAGCTGGGGACATGGAACACATGTTCCCTGGGATTGTTATGTCTCTGTCTGTGTTGTTTCAGGCAGGAGTTTGGCTCAGATCAATGTCCAGATCTGACAAGAGAAGTATACCTCCAGGACATCCACTGTGTGGGCTCGCTCTGCAAGCTCTACTTCAGGGAGCTTCCCAACCCCCTCCTGACTTATGAGCTCTATGGGAAATTCACGGTAAGTGTTTGGATTTCCATTATGGTTACTGGGTGGGACACATGGGCAGGCCAAGGAGAGTTTCAGCACTAAAATAATAAGAATAATACTCACCAGATGGTTGACATTCTCTTAGCATGGTGATGGGTGTAGGATGGTATGGTGAAGAGAGTCAATAGTGGAATTGCTTACTGCTTTTTTTTCTTTCTTGAGCTTTCAAAACCATATGTGTTTGTTTTAGGAGCTGGGTTAAATTATCTCTGTGTTTGTTTAACCAAAAGTACCTCATTGTATAGAAAGGATTGGGAGAAGTGACCGCCCCAGGGTCACACAACAGAGACAAGACAGGACCCCGAGCTTCCAGATGCTCAGTCTGAGCTTCTTCTGGGGGCTGGGAAAAGAAGGGGGTGGATGGAGGGGAGGGAATGATCAAAAGTCAAGGGAGAGATGAGAAATGCAGAAAAAGAAAAGAAACCTGGAAAAAGTAGATATGAAGAGTGCAGCAGAGGTCTGTGGATTTGATTGATTGATTAAAAAAATGGTGTCATCACCAAATAAGACAGTCATAGAAAAAGAAGAAAGAAAAATGCCTTTTCTTTACAAGTGTTCTTTTTTAAAAAATTGTGTATTCTTTTTTAAAATCTTTCTTTTATAGTGATTTATTTACAAAGTTCATATACATTGCTTTCACACTGGATCATTCCCATTTCCTTCACTCCCCCCCATAATATCGTGCGACCCTATGATTAACATCCCCCCACACCCATCCTCACCCCTCAGCCTCGCTTTTTCCCCATTCTTGGATCCTCATACTCATTCTACAATAATGATCTTATGCAATATTTGTCCTTGAGTTTGTTCACTCGCATATTGCTTTCAAGTCCCTCCCAAGTTAGGAAGTAATTTACAAAATCATTACTCATGTGTGCTGTGTAGTATTCCATTGTGTGTATGTACCATAATTTCTCAATCCATTCAATAGTGGTTGGACATCTAGGCTGTTGCCATGTTCTTGTGATGGTGAATAATGCTTCTATGAACATTGGTGTACAAATATCTGTTTGTGCCTCAGTTCTCATTCTCTTGGGGTTTACTCCAAGCAGTGAAATAGCTGGGCCATATGGAATTTTTATGTTGAGCTTTTTGGGGAAATGCAAACTGTCTTCCAGAGTGTTTGTACCATTTTACAATCCCACAAATAATGTATAGGAGTGCCTATCTCTCCATATCCTCTCCAACATTTCTCACTTGTCCTGTTAAACTTTGCCACTGCTACTGGAGTGAGATGGTGTCTCACTGTGGTTTTGATACAAATGTTCTTTTAAATAATTAAAAGGATGTTGTAGAAATGGCATTAGAAGTAACATTTCTTGCCATGTAGCTGGATATAGAAGAGATGGAGAAGTGGATTTAACCTTTCAAGAAAGGTGAAGGAGGTTAGAGTATATATAATGATTGACTGAAATAATTGACTATTAATTAATCAAGATAAGAAAGGACAGGAAGGCATAAGGCAAGTGAAAAAGTAAATCAATAAATAATTCATCCCATTAAGATCAGTTAAGTGTTGTCACAGGGTAGTCAGAGAAAGATTCTAAAGTTGAGATAATGGTATTTTGTTGTGTGCTGTTGAGTCAGAACTGACACATAGCAGACTCTTAGAGGATTTGAGGCAGTTAATTGTGCAGGAGGACATATTTCTCTCATAGAGCTACTGGTGAATTTGAAACATGTTTCTTTGGGATTGTAACACAGTTTCTTACCACTAGGCCACTAAAGCTCCCTAGAGATGTTTGAGGGATTGTAATAGGTGTGCCTGATCCACATCATGGTATTCAGACAGCTGAACAGTGACTAATGATGACAGAAGAATAATCAATGCTGTTGAGTTGTGGTGCTGGAGAAGAGTGTTGAATATACCATGGACTGCTAAGAGAACAAACAGGTTCATCCTGGAGAGGGTGAAACCAGGCTGCTCCTGGGAGACTAGGATTTTGAAGCTCCATCTGGCATACTTTGGGCATGTTGCCAGGAGGGACATCATGCTTGGAAGGGTGGAGGGACAGTGCAAGAGAAGAAGACCCTGGATGAGATGGATTAACTCAGTGACCAGGGTAACAGGTGTAGGGAAGTCGAAGACAATGCAATTGGCTCAAGATAGAGCAGGGTTCAGAGCTTTTGTACCTAGGTCGCTATGAGCGGCAAGCCACTCTGTGGCACATAACAGCAACAACCACCAGAATGAGACTCTAGCCATAGGAGGAAGTATTTCCCATGACTCCTGTAGTAAATTTATCTTGCCCACATAAAAAGTTCTGCAGTTAGAAATGCTGCAGGAATAAATAAACAATTCATTTTTTTTCAATCTGGGCTCGGGGTATTAAAAAGATATTTATGATTGCTCCATGATATATGGAAAGGCTAATAGCGATAATTGAAAAAATAAGATCACAATTTTATATTTAAAAAGGATAAAAAGATCTTCAAAAGATTATTAGTCATTGACTGTTATGATTATAGTTTCCCCTGTTTCTTGGCATCCTCTTTCTAAATAACATGCCTCTGGAAACTCTGAACTTTGGTAAATGTAGGTAGTGGTAGAGCGGCTTCAAGCCTTTTGTTCAATAGAGTCATGCTCCACTCAAAGGCAAACAACAACAACTTTATATGTTAACTTGAGAAATTTTTCCACTGAAAATATATTAAATGAGGGGGAAAAATAACCGAAGTACACATAAAAAATGTAGGCCTAAGTGTTGGTATAAATGTCAAAGCAGCAGACATATACCAGCTGATATACCACCCCTTGTGGTATAAGAAGGAAAGTGAGGGAGCCTCCTTTGAGAAAGGCTGAGTCATGAATAATGGTGGCCCCTGGCCGTGGAACCACAGAAGAGGTTTTACCATGTGCTGGCCTGCCAGATTATAATCAATAACCCTGTCTAGAAGTATTTTCTCATTTTAAGAGTACACATAGCAATTTAGAAAAACTTCCCAAAGACAACTACAGTTAACATTTTCTTCACTCTTTTGTTCCATGCATGGTATGTTTGTTTTGCCACAATGAAATAAAATGTTACTGAAAAACGAACAAAGGAGAAAGTTCATGTTGCCTGAAACCCCACACCTCAGTCATACCTGCTGTGTGAGTGTGCCTCTGTTTGTGTGTGTGTCATTATGTCTTTCAATCTTCATCCTCACTTTAGCTTTTTTTTTTTAATATTGCTGTTTTGAAACGTTTTCTAAAATTTCAACAATGCCAACAGCTTTCTGTGTTGATACATGTTAAATATGACCTCTTTTTAGTGTATTTTCTCATGTAGCATGATTTCTGAACACAATTTTCTTCTAATGGACATTTAGATTTTTTAGGTTTTGCTACTTTACCTTTATAAACATTATAATGAACAATTCTTATACTTATTTCTTTATATAATTGTCTGATTTTCTCACCAGGGAGAATATCATAGAAGTGGATTGATTTGCTTAGTAAAACCTAATTTTAACATGTTTATCTATTGACAAACTGTGCTCCAGGAAGTTAGGATTGCTCTTTGGCCCATGGCCTCATCAACAACTAGATATTTCCAATTTTCTAAATGTTTACCAATCTGAGTCATCAAAAATAACATCTTATTATTGTTTATGCATAGGATTTTATTGCTTGTTTTCTGCAGACTCTCATCTGTATAGTTTGTATATCGTAGATATTGTTGGAGTTTTCTTTTTTTTTTGTTTTTTTAGATATTATTGTTGTTGTTTGGTGCCATTGAGTTGACTACAACTCATAGCAACCCTGTGAACAACAGCTCTGAGCCTTGCCCTATCTTGTGCCATCCTTATGGTTTCAAGCCCATTGGTACAGTCATTAAGTCAATCCATCTTGTTGAGGGATCTGTCTTTTCTTTTCTCTGATCCTCCACCATTCCCAGGATAATGTCCTTTTCTAATGACTGGCCCCTCTTGACAGCATGCTGAAAGTATCAGAGAGTGCATTCACCATCCTTGCCTCTAAAGAACACCTTCTCCAAGATAGATGTGTTTGTCCTTTTGGCAGTCCAAAAGATATTCAGTCCTCTTCTCCAACACCACTTATTTAAAGGCATCCATTCTTTTTCTTCTTCTGTCATACTTACTCATTGTGCAACTTTTAGTTAGGAAGTGTGTGAAAGACTATAGGTTGTATCAGGCATATTTTAGTCTTGATACTGACATCATTACTCTTTAGCACTTTGGAGAGGTCCTTGACAGCAGGTTTTTCCCAATGCATCCGATTTTTCCACTCTGTTACCATGGATGTTACTTGTGGATCTAAGAAAAATTAAATCATTGACAACTTCAGTCTTTTCTCTGTCGTGATGTTGCCAGTGGTGACAGTTTGTGTTTTGAGATGTAATCTATATTGATGGCTGTAGTCTATGATCTTCTGTAGCAAGTGCTTCAAGTCCTCTTCATTTTCAGCGAGCAAGGCTGTTATCTGCATAATAAAAGTTGTTGATGAGTCTTCCTACAGTCTTGATGCCATCCATATTCTTCATGCAGGTCAGCTTCTTGAATGATTTGCTCAGCAAACAGATTCTATTCTGTTGTTTGTATTCTGTGTCATACAGATCTGAACCTTGCCCTATCCTGTGCCATCTTTACCGTCTCTAACACACTTGAACCCATTTTGTTATAGTCATGTGTCGGTTCATCTTGTGAAGGATCTTCCTCTTTTATGCTAACCCTCCGCCTGTCCAAGCTTAATGTCCTTCCTTCACCAAGGACTGGACCATCCTAAAAGCATGGCCAAAGTATCCTGTTGTTGTTATGTACCATTGAGTCATTTGCAACTCATAGTGACCCTGTGTACAACAACCCTATACCCTGCTCTACCCTGTGCCGATCTTACTGTCTCCGATGCACCTACGCCTTTTGCCCCAGTCACTGAATCAGTCCATCTTATTGAGGGTCTTCCTTTCTTGCACTGTTCCTCTACAAGGACTGGTCCCTCCTTGCAACATGTCCAAAGTATGTCAGAT